ATTCTTTAACAAATTTAAAAATGAATAAAGTAACAAAAACTATACAACATAAAAAACCACTTTCATCACCAAGTTTGCTAAATTCACTAATATTTGTGGTCTTTGAAGTAACTTTTCTTCTGTTGAGTTCTCTTGCAAAGTTCACCAGACCTGTTGAAGTTGCAAAGTTGAGAACTCTTGCAAAGTTCACCAGACCTACTTGCTCTTTGTGAGACTAATATGAGTTCAGCTGTCTCATCTTGTGATCTTAGTATTGATGGTTGTCTTCCTTTAATTCGTAAAGACACAAATAGTCACATGCTTGGCCTGAGCATATACATTCGTAAGAATTCACCCATTTGTCGGGAAACTAGGTTTGAATCCACAGACTACTCTTTTATGTGCTTTCGTTTAGCACCACTTCATTCTATCACCTTTCTTTTTGTTCTATATGGCTCTCCTTCATCTCAAGATTGCACTCTTCTTGATGTTATTTCTGATCATATTGACCAAGTCCTCTCTCTTCATCCATCAGCCAATATTGTTGTTGTTGGTGACTTTAATGTTTATCACACTGAATGGCTTGGCTCTAGTGTCAGTGACTCTGCAGGCATTAAAGCCTGCAATTTTTGCCTTTCTCAATCCTTAACTCAAATAGTCAAATTTCCAACTCGCTTTCCAGACAACCCAAATCATTTACCTTCTTTACTCAACTTATGTCTTGTTTCTGATCCTAGTCAGTGTTCAGTTTCTCCACATTTACCCTTACGTGCCTTTGGTCACAGTTTAATCTCTAAAACTATCATCAGAATCCCCCTATCATTGTACAATCACCTTCAAGCTGTCTGGAACTCTTTCCGTGATTTTCTTTGTGATGGCCCTTGGGCATAAATCTTTTGTCTTCCTGTTGAAAAATGTGCTTCTTACATAACTTCGTGGATTCAGACTGGCATGGAGTCCTTTATTCCTTCTTTACGGTTCCAGGTCAACCATCACTTTTCTCCATGGTTTTCCTCACACTGTGCTGCTGCAATTGCCAATTGAAACCATTACTTCCATATCTATCAGCAAAACAATTCTCCAAAAAGCAGACATCTGTTTATTACTGCTAGGAACCATTGTAAAAAGCTTTTGTCTAATGCCAAAATCCCACTATTCTCAGTATCACTCCAGCTTCTGTATCTAATGTGATTTCCTGCTTAAACTCTTCTACAGCTGTTATAGTCTTGCAGAAGTATTCTCCTAAGCTGTTGTCTATCCTTTCAAACTATTCAACAAGTGCTTATCAAAGTATTGTTTTCCAGCCTGGTGGAAAGCAGCATCCCAATTTTTAATAAATCTGGAGAGCGATCTGATTCATCTAAATACCGTCCCATTAATCATCAATATGGATTTCGATCTTCATGTTCTACAGCTGATTTGCTAACAGTAATAACCAATAGATAAAAGTGCATTAGATAAAGGTGCAGAGGTTAAGGCCATTGCTCTTGACATTTCTAAAGCATTTGATAAAGTTTAGCATGCTGGTCTTCTCCATAAGCTTTCTTCGTTTGGTGTATCTGGATACATCTTAAAGATTATTTTTTATTTCACGCAATAAAAAATCTTTTGCTGGAAAAAGGAAAAAACTTTCCTAGAAAACTTGGGGAAAATTTGAAGATCTCACTAACGCTTTGCAATCAATTTCCAATTGTTCCTCAAATGAAGATATCATCAATATTTTCCACTTAATTGAAAAATTTGTTGTGCTATTATATCACCCTACAAGTTATTACAATAGTATAAATGAATGCAGAAAAGACATATTTTCATCAAAAGGATGTTTACCAGACACCATACCCCTTGTTTTAAGGTGTTAAGCGTATGGCTTTTTTTTATTGTCTCCTATTAATTAAACCTTCTTGCTAATGCATTTTTTGTAACTGCTTTGCATTTATGTCAGTTTGCAATTATGAAATTCGCTTCTATTCAGCCTCCAAAAAATAGAAATTTTTTGTTCTTATTTCTGGAGAAGAAAAAAAAGCAATAAAACAAACCAAAAAAATTAAAGTTTTAATTTTTAGTTTCACAAATTTGTAACAGCGTTTGTATGGTTTCTATAGTAATCATTTTTGTTGTCTATGGTTAAACTTTGATACAACTATGTATCAAATATTTAAATAATGCAATATTGCATTATTAAGCAAGTAAAATGCAAGCATGCAAAAATGGATTTTTATATTTCGTTACATTTTCAAAGACAAAGTTTTATTTTTATTAACTACAAATTTCTTAATTTAAAAAAGTGTAACAAGATTTACTTAGTTTAAGATAACACAAGTGTATTAAATTTAAGTTTTATTTGATTAGAAAATAAAATTTTTAAATTACTTAAGAAGGAAAAGAAAAATTTTCTTTTTATACATTTACCAATCATTAGCAAGGTGAAGCAACATGTTGTATCTATTTATCTTAACAAGGTGAAGCAACAGGTTGTATCTATTTATCTTAACAAGGTGAAGCATCAGGTTGTGTTATTAAACATAAATCTAAAACTCATAAACTTTAAATTGTAAAACCTAAAACTTCCCATTAAAATGTAAACATAAAACTTCCTATTAAAATGTAAACCCAAAACTTCCTTTTAAAATGTAAAACTAAAACTTCCACTGAAATGTAAACCCAAAACTTCCTTTTAAAATGTAAACCTAAAACTTCCTAATAAAACGTAAACTTAAAACTTCTTACTAAAAAGACTTAGTAATTTTAGCATATGTATTAAATGACATTTTTTTGGTTTTGCAATACTTTCGACATTTGAAAGAGTTTGTGTTCATTTTTGCAGGTGTAGCATTTATTTAAAGTTTCTTTTGCTCTAAATTTCTTTTTACTGGAATTTCGTTTTTATCGTTTTTGTTTTGAGATTTCATTAGTTTGTTTACAGTTTACACATTCTTTTCACGTAAACAGTTTTCACATTTAACAATCTTTTTTTGCTTTAGTTGAATAATTTACTATGAGAAAAGTTTCATACTAAGTTACGAGTTATTATAGCAGATTTTTGAATTATAGATAAGAATCTATAAGACTATATCTTTAAGTTCTTAATCTTGATTTGTTGGGTTAGGACCATTTATATTAAGGTTAACAATATATGCAAGGTCGTATAAGTTTAAAATTTTTTAAAACATCAAGTTTATTAAAAAAAATTTTTGAAATCAAAACTGTTAATTTTATTTTTGTTTTAGGATGCAAAATTTTTTGAAATCAAAACTGTTAATTTTATTTTTGTTTTAGGATGCAAAATTTTTTGAAATCAAAACTGTTAATTTTATTTTTGTTTTAGGATGCAAAATTTTTTGAAATCAAAACTGTTAATTTTATTTTTGTTTTAGGATGCAATATTACTTTGAAAGAAATGGTTTGTACTTTTTTTTGTTTGTTTTTCTTATTTGTTTTGTCAAAACGGTTATAGTTTTTATATATTTACATTTATATTATAATAATAATTATAATAATTACAACGATAGTAAGTAATAAGAGAAATTAATAATATTATTAACTTGTAATAATAATAAATAAGCACAATAAATGGTATAATAATAATATATTTATATATATGGTATAGTAATATATAATAGTATAATAATATATAAATGGTGTAATAATAATAATATATAAAGATAATAATAAATAATAAATTATCTTGTTAAAAAAATGTTTTTCAAAAAATGTAGTTAAAGAAACTTAATAATTTTGATTTTAATTCATATTAGTATTACATATAAACTAGTACATTAGTATTACATTAGTACATTAGTATCATATTAGTATTACATAAAAATTATCATATTAGTATTACATTAGTACATTAGTCATCATATTAGTATTACATATAAATTAGTACACACGCAAATTAGTACACAGTACTTTTTTAAGTAATATTAGGCAGGTATAACTATATTTTTATAAATTTATATTAGACAGGTTATAACTTACTATAAGTCATTTTGGCCAAATCGTTAACTGTATTGTTACTATAATGACCTCAGTTGGAGGTCTACATAACAATATCAAATTTTTTTAAGTATATGTAACTAAATTCAAATGTTTTAGGCACACTTTTTAAACTTTTAACCAAAATTTTATAATTTTTTTATGACTCGTTGTCTCTATTTTTTTTTAATTTGTAAATTACAAGCAATTTTTTTTACCTAAAATTAATTTTCTAATCATAAAATCATTACTCCATACATCATACTTGTTTATTAAACACATGGAGTTTAATTAAACATTTTTTTCAATGAAATACAGTAATTATTTTTGTACTAGAATAAAATTAATATCAGCTAAATATACACAAAATTAGATTGTTAACATATAATGAATATACAAATAAATATTTTAATTTTTCCAAGCCTTTTTTACATAGGGTGAGAAATACGAACTTCTACCTTACTTTACATTGAAAACTATCCAACAAATGAAAAATAGGTGATATTAAGTGTTGCCTTCAGTTTTTTTTTTTTTTTTTTTTCAGTAGAAGCAAATACGCTAATTAAAATCAAATATTTTTTCTAGAACAAGAATGAAAAACGAAATCAAAGATTTTCTGCTTTAAATCATGTTAGCTTATTACTTGGAAAACGATGTAAAAATAAATATTTTTGAAAAACATAATGTATTTAACGCTAGATTGTTTTTTTATGAAGATTTTTTTTCTACCTGGCTAGATATTGCAACATTGAAAAACTGATTAAACGTTTATATGTATACACACTGGTCATTTTAACCATTTATTTGCCATTTGTTACTAACTTTATTTATTATAATGCAATTATTTAGAAAATATGTCATAATTAAAAATAACACAGCATAAAATCATGATAATTTATTCAATTTAGCTTATTATATACTAATTAAACAGAATAAATCTAAAATGAAAGTGAAAAAAACTTGCTAAAAATATTATTTAACTTCTTTGAAAAAAATAATATAACACCTGAGTCTCTTTCTGGTAGATTAGACCAATTAACAAATGGAAACTGAAATTTGAGATTTATGTAGATTTCATGTAGACCTGGGAATTTCAAATATTTACTAACTGCATTTAAAAAATCTGACCTCTCTAAACTTCCAAAAAAAAACTCTTTGAACCCTTTTTTCTAAAAGAAATTCTTTGAACTAATTTACTGATTTAAAAAAATTCAAAACTGATGTATCAAAATCCAAATCCACAGTAATGTATAAAAACCAGATATATCAGCACCCCTTCCTTTAAGATCTCTTCGGTATGGCCCTGTCTTTAGGCTTTACGCTAACGTCAGCTGCAATAGGAGTCTAATCTTATTTAAAATAAACTTCTTGAAAGTTAATTTCTGTCATACTCCAATGAAAACAATATTTTTCTACAAATAAAAAAAATAGTATTCTATTTTCTTTTATTTGTAGAACAAACAACTTTATGCCTTTTACTATTTTGTTGCTATCACCTTGGTTTGTTTGTTCATTTTCAGCAATGTTCAATTTTTGATGCCTTAATTAAATCAAGGGCGTATTAATAGATGGACATTGTTATAGATCTGAGGCGCCACGAGTAAACAAAAACCTATGCGAGTTATAATTTTTAGCGTCATTTTTCTGATTTAAAATTTTTTTTCTGATTTGATTTAAAAAAGTATACTGCCGTTTTTCCGATATTTTCGCTTTTCTAACTACTTTTTTTAAAAAGTATAAAACTTTAACTTTTTTTTAAAATTAACGCATTTTAGTTAATTAGAAATAGTTCATTTGTTTTAAAATATCGAATTTCATGCGTGAGCACTTTTTAATAAGAACTTATCATTAATAAAACTTAGACATCAAAAATCATATTTTTGTTAAAAGGTGATATGAAGTTAGGAAGAATGAATACTGAAAAATGAAACGAGTTTTCTAGATGCTGTAGTTAAAACTGTAGATCATTTATAGATCGAACTAAAGATTACGTGTAGTCTTGTGGTCTACTCCCTACACCTAGTTTTCACTAATATATTTGGTATTTAAATTTTTCCTTTATGTTGAAATTTTGTCTCATTTACAATTTTGTTTTGATATTTTTCTGTGATTAACCTTTTTTTTCCATGTAAAGATTTCGCTTGAGTTTTTAGATCATATAATAAAAAGGTTTTATTTATTTAAAAACTTTTTAGAGTTTTTAGATGTTATGGAATGTTTGAATATTTTTTAGGCAAGGCAAGACAATCGTTATTTTGACGCAAAATCAAGTGAAAATATTCTCAAGTTAAAAATAGTTAACATCTGTTCTCTATTCGTTTGCTATTGTTATTTTTAACAATGAATAGCGCGGATATCTTGGTCTTGGTACGTCCTTCTATTAATACGTAATTAAATTAAGTGTCAATGCATATTATAGATCATTTTTATTCCAAAAATCTGTCACAGTTTACTTTAAATTAAAATCTCTTACAAATTTGAAATTTACAACTGAATTAGGTATAACTTTTAATATTTTTCAAAGATATTATAAAACACTTTTGGTTTAAATGAGTGTAACGATCTTTAAAATTATTTTACATGGGAGATGTTTCTGTTGCCATAGAGAGATTATAACTAATAACGCTAAGATTGCTTAGTTTAGTACAAATAAAATAAATTTGAAAACTTTTTATTATGCAGTAGCACGAAATCAGAATTTTATGTAAGCCGTTAGCCGTTTGAAACGTTTTCAATAGAGAGCTTCATGAAGATGGGACCTTTGGACTCCCGTGGGGATGTGTTTAGTTGTTGCGGCAAACCCGCATATTATAAAATTATTTGAATCCCGTGGGTACGGAATGGATTTTTATGATACTTTAGTTGTAACAAAGATCAAATTTTTATTTATTCTTTCAAAAATTTTATTTGTCTTATCCCATCATAACAAGCAGTAAGCATAACTCAAAATGTTAAACGCTGTTTTTTTTTTCATAGTCTTAGTGATTCAGCCTTTAGCCATCTTGAGTAACTCGGCTAATATAACAACGTTTTTCAAAATAAAACTTGTTAAAATTGAATCCAAATTATTAAATATTATCTAAGTTTTTATACAAATGTATTGATACTTAATAGTAAACCAGCGATATCACTTCCAGGACCACCGAGAGAGAGAGAGGGGTTAAATAAGCATACGCGCCCTGGGCGCCTAGATAATAGGGACGTCAAAAGATGAGAAGCTACAAAAAATTATAATGATATTTTAGTTATAAAAAAATTAAAAAATTGATTTTATTGATGAGAATAAACTAATAAATAAATTAATTTACTTAGTGATGTGAATAGCAATTAACTTACTTTGTTTATATCACAAAGTTTATATCAACTGGTTAAACAAAAAATATAGAATTTTCGACTCCCTCCCTATTGATAAAACAGAGATTATAAAAAACTGATTTTAATTTGTCTAAAAGAGTTTCATAATCCCAAGTAAAATGTTAATTAAGTTTTTAAAATTAATGAACCCTGTCGATCTTTGAAAATTTCCGTTAATTATGGTTTTTACAGGTAATTGCATTAAAATAAAGAATGCATTTCGCCATTATAATTTACAAAAACATGAATTTGTAGGTTTGTAAATTTTATCTGCTTTAATCATATTGTTATCATGTAGAAAAGTTGTAATGTTTAAAGAGTTAAAAAAATTATATAAAAAAAAAAACGTTCTAATTTCTTCAATAGCGGTTTCTCTGTGACAAGACCTTAAAGCCTTCTTTAAGTATCCGCGTTCTTTATTTTTATTTTTTATACTTTATTTCTTAAATATATCTTTGTTTGATTTGTTATATTTTCTTTTTTTATATTATTTGTAACATATGTATTATAAATATTGTAATAAAGAACAACAACAACAACAAAAAAAAAAATTTTTCGAGGATCCGTATTTCTGTATATTTAACATTGGGTATAACTATGTATGTATGTATGTATGTATGTGAAAGAAGAAATAGAATTTTTGATTAGTGTTGTCAAGAAAAAAGGAATGAAAATTTTTTAAGTGTTTATTAAATTGATCTTCTTCTAAATACCATCTTTAAAGTTGTAAAATCTGATAATATTAATACGCTAATTTAATATTATTAGTCGAATTACGTCATTTTCTAGACTTTTCTATTTTAAAGTAGTTTCTAGGCTTTTCTATTCGCGGTTTTTTTTTTTATGTTATTTACTAACAACGCGTATTACGGGTTGCTTTCTGCTAGTATTAAATAATTGACAAAACTTTTTATATTTGAGTAATTTATAAAAGCAGTATTAGTTTTTTAAAGATTTTTTTTTATATTTGAGTAATTTATTAAAGCAGTATTATTTTCTAAAGATTTTTTTAAAATTATTATAGTCTTTGATTTTCGTCATTTACACCTGATCAAGTTTAACTCATAAATGTCGCGATGTTTTATAATTAGAGTTCAGGTTTTCTATCGTGTTGGTAATCCCACACCATATCAAGATGTGTGTGTGTATGCGTTTGATGCGCATTATTGTTTTTGAAAATATTATATATATATATATATATATATATATATATATATATATATATATATATATATATATATATATATATATATATATATATATATATATATATACATATATATTTTTTTTATATTTTTGTTTTAAATGTATAAAAAAAAATATCATTTTTAGGTACTGTCTCCAAAAATGATTTAAAGAATCATATTACAGGATTAACAGTTTTTAAATATATTTATGCCTTAAAAAATTTTTATTTTTTATAAGCCTGGTTTTATTTAAATTCACATAAATTTTTTGTTATTTATAATGTTTTTTTATAAGCCTAAATTTTCTATATTATTAGTGAAGATAATTTGCAGTAGAAAATTCGATTCTGGTAGTTGGTTCTTGCTTGCAAAGTAAGCGTTTTAGTTTTCTTTTTAGAAAATTTATTACTCGCCGAGACGCAAATATATATATTACTGCATCAGTCCACATAGTTAATGGAAATGACAAATTATAAACCATGTTTGTTAAAGGATCAGTATGAAAAACTTGTATTTGATACAAAAACATGAAGAAATCAGGAACGGCATAAAAGACAATAAACGTTGTTATAATAGCAATCGATACAAACAATCCTTTAAATATTTTTCTATCAGGTAGATTGGATCGAACGTTAGCTTTGTGCATGTGATTAACTATTAAAGCATACGTGTAAAAAAAGAAAGAAAAAATAATTACAAAAAAATCAAAACAAATCCAAATAATGTAGCTATAACTTTTAAATATTTTCCATACATGCAAACTTCCAGCCAATACAGCAATACCCCATATACCTATTATCGTCATAATTTTTTTTTTTTTTGACCAATACATCATGTATTTTACGTTTAACTTAATATGCAAAAATCTGTCAAATATCAACCAACATATTGTATAAGCTACTTTAAAAGTCACACATACACAAATTAGAGAATCAAAATAATTCATAACTTTTTTAAGGGCCAAATAACCTCCAACTCCAAAAGCTAAACATAAACCAATGCCAACAATGCAAAGTTGAATAAGAATAAATCGCTGCATTAAATCAAACCCAGATTTGATTTTAACAAGTACAGCAAAACCAAAGACATTAAAAATGAGTCCAATTAAACAAGAAATTACATAAACAACAAACATATCAAAAGCAGCCTTTGAACGATTGACACATCGAATAAGAAATACTTAAACGCCTAATACATTGAATTATAAATATCTGTAAAGAAAGATAACATTTTCAAATAGACAAAAATATATGTATATATTTTTTATATATAAAATATATTTGTATATAAAATATATTTTATATATTTAGATGAGATTTGTATTTTGTTTGTTTATGTTTTTTGATTGTCCATCTGCTTACTGAAAGAAAACAAAATTACACAATTTATTGATTAGTAGTTACTTTTTTTAACTTTTATAGGCTAAAAACAATACATTTCAAAAAGTCAATGAAAAATGTTATTTTAATTAAATAAAAACTTCAAGGAGGTGAAAAAACAGCTGGGTTTTTTTTTTTACTTTTCACGAAATTTCTTATCTGTACAATAACACCACTGTTGATATTAATAAGCTGCTTTTTAGGATTTTTTTTTTTTTGAAATGTGCAAAACAAAAAGATTGCGCGAATGAAATTTATATATCTTAGTATCTTTTTACTTTTTATGTAAAACTTTATGATCTGTTGTTTGTCATTCTGTAAACACTAATAAATAAATTTCAAATCAATGCAAGTAAAGCAGCTATAGAACTTAAATCTATTAATTGCAAAATTTTATATAAAATTTTAATAATAGAAGTAATTTTAATATTTTTAAAACAAATAATGATACCAAAATAATTATAAGTAAAAAACCTTTCGCAGAATACTCTTGAGAAAATCATTCGAAGTTACGTTTGTTATCGTCATTATCTTTTTTTTTTATTGTCACAACCTTTTTCTGTCCCCGAATTTTCTTTAGACTTTATACACGATCAAAATTCTCATTCAATCGGCATGGTACAAACTTTAAACAATCCTACGTACATCGTATTTTTATTCTTAAAAAAACGGGCAACTTCATCTAAATAAAGGTATCATATCAAGTCTTATTAACTAAAAACAAAGGAAGGTGGAATACTAAAGCACCAACAAAAAACTCAAAAAAATTTAGTTATCTCACAGTTTTTGAGCTAATTCCATTTCCACAATCTGTACATTGAAATCTATTATTAATTTAAATATTAGAGCACTTAAAAGTTTTTTTCTTCCTCTAAATAAAAAGAATATATATTAATTTCTGTTTATGCACAACTATAAATAGCTCAGTTTTTACTCGTTTTCTTAAATTCAATTTATTTTGACTAAGCACTATTTTCAGATAAACTCCTCATATGTTGATGAAATAACTATTATAGTAATAATATTTAAAATAAGTATAAATAAATTATATTAAATTATTGTAGATATTATTTATATTATATTTTATATATTTTACATTATTTATGATAACAAATAATATTTTATTATGACAAATTATACTATATTATAGTAGTTATTAGTATAACGAGGGGCAAAATGAGACACTTAAGCGCTAATATATCTAATACGGCCCGTCTAACAACTTTTGAAAAAATAAATTGATATTTTCAATTCTTCTACAATCCTACTTTTTTTTTAGTAATTTAAATAAATAAAGTTAAAAAAAACATATCTTTAAAAGGATTAGCAAGAAATACATTTTATAATATATTACAGCTATAATCAAACTGTCACTAGTCACATAAATCACATATTGCTTAACCAATATTTTGAAACAAACAACAGTCCGAATGAGCCCAGTTTGTGGATATTGGAAATTGTCTCCACTTAATTAACAAAATAAAAAGTAAGTAAATACAGTATAATAAATTTAAATCTACAGCATATAAATATTAATATTTGCTTTGGTTGTTGTTTTAATGTAAAAAAATAAATAAACATAATATTAGATATCGGCAAAAAAAAAAATACAAACATCATGTTGGCATCGAATAGCCTAATTTCCAGACTATTTTATTGAAGAAATAAAATACCAAAGAATGGAAATGAAAGGAAAAGGCCTAAAAAATCTAATTAAAAAAAAACTTTAAATATAAAAAACTTTTCCACTCAGTGAAATCAAAAAAGGCTAGGAAAAAATATAATAACAACTCTTAAAAATTCGTAATTTTCGCGAAGCCGAGGGATGAAATGACTCCCCTTTTACTCAACTTTTTTATTTCAAAGTGACTCAATATATTTTTCTTGACACAAAATAGTTTTTGAACACAACTGCACTTTTAAAAATCTTGCAAATAATAATTTGTAGGGCTGGCATTATGTTAAATGCGAACTGTCTCGTATTGCCCGCTGTCTCATTTTGCCCCGCATTACCCTATATTTATTATATTATAATAGCTATGATAAATACAAACAAAACTTTTTTTAATCTATTGCTGCTCTGTGTATTCAAACAGCGTTAGTTTGTTTCGTTAGTTAGGTGAGACATACTGTTTTTTGCCAGTTTTTTTTTTCTATTTTATTTCCTTTTTTCAGGATTCATGTTCGTGATCTACATAATAATTAGGTCAGATATATATATTATTATTTACAGTAAAAAAAAAAGAAAAAAAAAGAAAGTAATGTTGAAAATATTAAAAAATTAATATGTGAAGAAATATGTAAAGCGAGCATGTAGGGCGAACAGTTGTGTATAATCAGGATGCAGTGATTTAGAAGAAAGTGTTGGTAAGAAGTAGATAAAGTTAGAGAATACATTGCAGGTAATATGAAAAATTTATTGGTTTTTACAGATTTTTTACAAACAAGTACAAAAATATATCATCACAAATGACTCTGATAATTGTACATTCGTGTTTTGGCAAAAGAGAAGCATTTGTGGAGTAAATCCATGATTTTAGCTGGCAACCTTTCCAGGGAACTTTGATAACATCTATCCATGTGTCGAGCATAGAATTGGAAGATTCAAATGTAGGTACATTTGAAA